AGATTCTTCCATTGGTTTGTTTGAAAACGTAAAAAAGGCGCCAAATTCATTGTAAGACTGCAAAAGCTAACAAAATCCAATCACAATCATGAAACTAAGGAAAAAATCAAGTGAACCTCATAATATTCTTCCATTGGTTTGTTTGAAAACGTAAAAATGGCGCCAATTTAACTTGGTAACGGGTTGAATTTGTTAACTTGGAAACTGCAAAACCTAACATGAAAAGATTCTTTTAATAACATATCCAATTCACCGATCAAGATTTGTTAAATGAAGATTCTTGTTGAACCCTGACTGGCTTTATTGGTAAACATCAGCTGTTAACCAGTATATAAAAACACCAGTAAATCATCACTGTAACTTAATCTATTATTTGTATTTCTTTATAAGCCATTATTATCATTTTCATTATCATTAAATAAAGAAAACTTAAACAATTCTTTTCATTTTAGATTTGAAATTTGGTTTTGTTAAATGAAGTCTTGGGACAAATTTATAATTTTTACCATTTTGTACAGTCTATATGAATGGTTAAAAAACACCATATGCATCATAATAACAAACAATTTTTTCTCCGCCCTGTTGAAGATTTTGTATCCTTTTCCAATTTTTTTCATCATTTTCATTGTTATCTATAATTTATGAAGCATTTGACATTTTTAAAAATTTAATTTCGATAGTTGATTCTTATAAAAATCAAGGAATAAGTCTTTTTATTCTGATCTTGACAAAAATTGTAAGTTTTTGTTACTATTCATATGTTTTTTTAGCATTATTAATGGGGAATTTGTGTTTATTTAGTTGTTGTATTTGTTGTCTTTAAATTGCTAAATAGTCGAATCCAATCATGGGTAGGAAACGGGATATTGGTAGAAAATACCTTAGTGGTCACGAAAAGAAAATTCGTAAAAAAAAATCGGAAAATATAGACAAAGAATTTAAAGGTTCGTTATTGAAATATTTCAAACAAGATGAGAAAAAAGGTACCCAAACTATGGATGTCACCGAGCTTGAACAAGAAGATTTGTTAACTGAGTCCAATGAAGAATGTTCTACATCATCTCAAAGTACATCATTACAATTAACATCATCTCAAAGTACATCATTACAAGAAACATCATCTCAAAGTACATCATCTAAAAGTATTTCATCTCAAGGAAATCAACAAAGTAGCATCATAGATTTACATGATCCTGGATTTTGGCCTGAAAAAATTACTGAACAATTCAGAATGGAAATAATTCGCAATGGAATGGTTCAACTTAAAGGGTATAATTATCCAAAAGACCGATTTAATAGATCTTTCTCAGATAAACATTTTACAAGAACTTTGAAAAATGGACTACAACAAGAGCGAAGATGGCTATTGTATTCGAAGGAAAAAGATTCGGTTTTTTGTTTTTCATGTCGGTTATTTTGTCCAAATGATTCAGCACTTTGTTCAGATGGTTTCAATGATTGGACTCATTTGAGCGAGCGTCTTCATACTCATGAAAATTCGAAGGGTCATTTTAACTCAATGTTCCAACTGATTGAATTGGAAAAGCATTTGAAATCAGGAACTACAATTGATAAAATTCACGAAAATCATGTTCAACAGCGAATTCAATTTTTAACAAAAGTATTTGAACGTCTAATTCAGGCTATTTTATTCATGTCTAAAAATAATTTGGCATTTCGTGGAAGTAATGATAAATTATATGAACCACATAATGGTATTTTTCTTTCGCTCATCGAATATGTAGGAAAATTTGATCCTGTGATGAATGAGCACTTGAAATATTCTAAAAAATCATACTTGTCTCCAAAAATACAAAACCAATTGATAATCGCAATGGCGAGGAAAGTTCGTTCTGAAATAATTTCAAAAATAAAAGAAGCCAGATATTTTTCAATTTTATTGGATTGCACACCGGATGCAAGTCATCAAGAGCAACTGTCAATTGTTTTTCGATATGTTGATGTTGATGATATGACGAATGGATTTATTCACGAAAGATTTTTGCAGTTCGAATCAGTAGAAGATACCACTGGCAAAGGATTGACAGCCAAAATAGAAAGCATCTTGAAAGATGAAGGACTAGATCTTGCGAATTGTCGTGGTCAAAGTTATGATAATGGGGCAAATATGCGAGGGGTAAATAAAGGAGTGCAAGCACTAATTTTGGAAAAAAATCCCAAAGCCTATTACATGTCATGTGGAAGCCATAATCTAAACCTAATTCTTAGTGAAATGTCTAAATCATCTAATATTGCGATTTCATTTTTTGGCACATTGCAAAGTTTATACAATATTTTCGCCGGTTCAGTTAATAGGTGGAGAATTTTGAAAGAACATGTAAATAATCTTACTCCAAAACCTTTGTCCGAAACACGTTGGGAATGTCGCATTAATAGCGTAAAGGCGGTGAGATTCCAACTTTTGGAATTTTCTAAAGCATTGGAATCGTTGGAAAATCATGTTACAGAATCGAAAATCAAGTCTGAGATCGATTCCATAAAAAACAAAATATCATCGATTGAGTTCATATTCAGCCTGATTATATGGTATCGAATTCTAGAAAAAGTAAATATTGTTAGTAAGCTTTTCCAAAGCCCTAGTATCGATATTGGAATCGCAACTAAACATCTTCAAGCCCTTATACAATTTTTTGAAGAATTTAGAGATGAAGGATTCGATTCCTCGCTGGCTGAATCGCGAGAGTTGGCGCGCCGGCTTGATATAAATCCAGAATTTAAAGATAACCGGATTCGGAAGAAAAAACGATTTGATTCTGAAGGTGATGATGAACCAAAATCATCACCTGAAGATAGATATCGTATTGATTATTTTTTGATAATCATCGATCAAGCTTTGGAATCGTTTCGCAATCGATTTCAATATTACCGAAATCACCATGAAATGTTCGGGCCCTTTTACGATTCCGATAGACTGAAAAGTTTATCCGAATCGGAATTGGACACTTGCGGCCGAACCATTGCATCTGTCATGGGAGAGGACATCGAGTGTAGTGATTTAGTAAACGAAATTCGACTTAGTCGTGAGGTTCTACCGTCGAACCTGGGGTTGTCTCAAACTTTGAAGTATTTTTCTGATAATCACTTATTGGAATTATATCCGAATTTGGTGATTCTCCTTCGAATTCTATCGACATTACCGATTACAGTCGCATCAGCTGAACGCTCGTTTTCAAAGTTAAAGCTTATTAAAACTTATCTTCGCTCGACCATAGGCAAAGATCGTTTTAATGCTTTGGCTTTATTGTCGATCGAACAAGAGTTCGTCAACAATATTGATTTCAGCGATTTAGCCTATCGCTTTGCCGTCAACCAGTCAAAATCAAAATAGGTTTTCGTTTTTTTTGTTTGTTTTTTGTTTTCGTTTTGTTTTGTTTTTTTTTTGCTTTTTTCTTTTGATAAATAAATAAATAATTAATTATTGGGAATTCAAGAAATAATTATTTATTTATTTTTAAACCAAAAATTATCCATGTCAGAATTGAATTTCAGATTATCAATTTGGTTTTGTTATGAAAAGATATTCTTCATTTCAGA